TATTTGTGGTATTTTTAAATAATTATTATATAAAACATGGACAGCAATGTTGTTAATATTATAATACAAGTACTGTATAATAACACAGTATAATAATGTATTAATAGCATCGCTTATTATTATTGTATCAGGGTTGATCTTGTATATTTTGGTATGGGGGGGGGCTCATGTATGAATTATTTTTCCCAAATCTACTGTTCCCAAAAATAAAAATGATGTACTGTAATGATTATACTATTTAAAGTTTATATATTAAAATTTGAAACAATTTTATGCTGACTTCAGTGATATACGATCCACACACACACACACACACACACACACACACACACACACACACACACACACACACACACACACACACACACACACACACACACACACACACACACACACACACACACACACACACACACACACACACACACACACACCTGACTATATCATCATTATTTTTATTGTATTATAATATTGTAAGTATAATAAATTTATGATGATTTTACACTATATTATTATTATTATTATTATTATTATTATTATTATTATTATTATTAATTTAATTAAATATTTTTGTTTTGAATATTTTATAATATACTTAAAATCTGTATATAATTTTTATAGATAAAAACACAAAATAATAATTTGCTGATATATGGTGTTCAATAATGTCTTTTAATTTTGTTTATTACATTATTTTGTTAAAACTACATTATACTTGTAATAGTTATTAATTATTTATAAAACTGATACAAACATGCAATATAGACATTAGGCCTTTACTTATATACAATACGGTTTATATATAACTTTATAATTTATATATAAAATATTATAATAAACCTATAGTTTGAATAGAAAATAATTATTAATATATCAAAAAAAATCATGTGTTTTAACAATTAATCTAAATATTATAATTATACAATTTATAATTAATTTTTAGTTAATAGTAAGACATATAAACAAACACATTAAATTATATTAATTAATAATATTTGTTAATAATTTAATTATTATTGATAACTATTAATATGTTTTAAATATTTAAATATTTCATTTATCACAGTTATTATAGTTATTAGTTATATAGTTATCATTAATATAACAGTAGTTATAACTAATTTATGTAATTAATACATTTTTAATATTGCTCATGTTAATTTTATTTTTTTTAAAAATATTATTTTTAATATTAATATTTTTATTAATCCAATAAATGGCATATAAAAATATTTTAATATTATTTATTTTTTTTGAAATAAAAAATAGTACACTTTTACTCATTATATATAATCATACAGTTTGTATTTAAAATGTTTTACTAATGTTATTAAAAAAATGTCCAAGCTAATCAATATTTTTCATAAATGATTTAAAACATTGATTTTTAAATGACAAAATAAATAAAAATAAAATAATAATAACTTTTTTCTCCCTGACAACTCCTATGTATTGTAAAATGTTTTGTACAATATTTACAATATATTTTATGATTTGCATCATACAATTTTGAAAATTTTGAAAATTTAAAAAAAAATCATATATTGTGTGTATGTGTGTGAATATACTGTATATAACGTGCATTAAATTACATGAACAACAACAAAAAATTGATCAAGTCATCCGATACATTTTATACTTAAAAAAAAATTTAAGTGTGTGTGTGTGTGTGTGTGTGTGTGTTTGTAATTTCTAGATTTAAGTGTGTGTGTGTGTGTGTGTGTGTGTGTGTGTGTGTGTGTTGTGTGTGTGTGTGTATAATGTGTGTGTGTGTGTGTGTGTGTGTGTGTGTGTGTGTGTGTCGTCTAATATTTTTGTGGACTCAACCAGACATACAGCAAAACATTTTACTATAAAGATATAAAGAGAAAAAAAGTCAAAAATCATTTATTAATAATAAGTAAAATAAAAAATCAGAAATATTCAAGTATTTATTTGCAGTTTTTTACAGTTCAATACAACAACAAAAAATATAGAGAAAAATAAATATTTTTCAGTTGAAAGATATGGTTGGGATATTGAATAATGTAAAGCAAATCGTATATATATAATAACATAACATATTATATTCAATAAGCAGATAACACACACACACACACACACAGTCAGACAATATTATTACCATATATTGAAAAATTTTGATATATTTTTTGATATATGAGAAAACTATTGGATCTCTCTCTCTCTCTCTCTCTCTCTCTCTCTCTCTCTCTCTCTCTCTCTCTCTCTCTCTGTGTGTGTGTGTGTGTGTGTGTGTGTGTGTGTACTATATTTTTGTGGAAAATACTGGATGACTATTACTACTCTATCCTATCTACACAATCATATATATATATATATATATATAYAAACACTTGTATGTCTATGTTATGGTATCTATAAAAAACGTAACGGTAGAAATCCAATACACTTTTTTGCAAAAAAAATACTATAATATAATACAGTATATGTATATTAGTTTAGACTAACTGTTAACAAACTTTTATTTTTAAATTATTTTTGATTTATTTAGTTTCTATTTCAATACAAATTAACTATAAAAAAAATCAACTATTTTTCTCAAGTTGTAATAAATCGTTGAATATTTACATCTATTAATCAGTATTTTATTAGTTATTTAATGTAAAAATATGAAATTTTGTGATAAATTAGAAGAAAAAAACTAATTTAATATTTTTTGTTAACATTCAATATCACACATTTAATTTTTTTTTTAAATATACTAATAAATATATTTATTTATTAATATAATATAGACTAAATACTAATAATTTTGATAATATTATACACTATATTTATAACTATTATTATTATATTAATACCTGTATATAACATAGTTCAGGTAGTATACAATATCATTATAATATTAGATTACATTAAATTTAATATACAATAATTATTAATATTACTTATAATACTTGTTATATTGAGAGAGAAAAATATTTAGGTTTTTTTAATAATAGAAAATTAGGTAAAATTATATGAATAATTGAGAGACACTTTTTTGTTGGAAAATTAAATCTTGTAGATATAAACTTACAATTTAACTGCAATTTTACAGCTATGTATGGGTGTAATTAAAATCTAGTATTTGTTTAATTGTAAGCTATAGTATTGTAAAATAATACCGTAATTAACATTAGACTTTAATTTTAGTTTTTGTTGTTGTAATGTATTATTTTTATTATTGTTGTATAAAAAACTTCCTAAACTATATATATATATATATATATATATATATTGAATATCAGTAAATTTTGCAGTTAGTTATTAAGGTAATGTAATACTTTTATTATGTTAATATATATATATAAATATATATATTTTTGTATAAATACAATTAAAAAAAATAAATACAATTAGTCTACTAATCATAGTATGAATTTAACGAGAAATTAAAATTTTCTTAGATATAAATATTAAATATAAGTTTAATTAATTAATTAATTAATTCTATAATTATTGGACATATATTTAATCATTTTGGATAATTGTGTTTAAATATTGTTAATATTTAAAAATAAAATTTATATATATATAATTTTTTTTTAAAAATACAATTTAATAATATTATTATATAAATATTTAAACAAATAAATAAATTTTTTTCTAAAAATACTAATATCGTGTTTGTTTGCTGTGTCGATAGCCGGCACCGGCATATACGCCAACACAACAACAACAACATAATCAAGTCCCGGCAGCGCACAGTTAGCTATCGCGCGCGCACAGTCATAGTCATACAGGCACACACAGTCAGGGGCAGGGCATGGCTTATAAAATTTTGGGCGACTCCTCTACTATCGGTGCCCGAGTCAGTAGTAGTTGTTCAGCACTCACTCCTCACTAACACATAGTTTTTACACACACATAGATAGAGAGAGAGAGAGAGAGAGAGAGATATCTAAATAGTTTAATAAAACTTATATATATATATTAAAATACTTATATATATATATAGTTTTAAATTAATAAAAAAAACTTTTTTTTCGGTGGTTTGTTATTTTGCAACTATCCTTTTAAAATAGGTGTTCATCTATTATTATTATTATTAATTTGTATAATAATAATTATTGGCTGCAATAAATAAATCAATTAATTAATTAATAAAAAATAATAATTTTGTTTGTGTTTTATGTGTGTTTGTGTATACGCGCGTGTTGTTTAAATTTTTCAAAAAAAAATTTCAAAAAATCAACGTGGTGGATTTTAACAATTTAACATTAACATTAATAAATAATAATAATAATAATTTTTTCTTCAATAAAATATCATAAAACACATCAAAATATTATTATTTATCTCTCTATCTGTTCACAAAAAAATCGGGGATTCTGTGAGTGTTATATATATATATATATATTATTATCAAATTTAATATATATATATTTGTTGTGTGTGTGTATACGTACCTAAAAAAAGTGTAGTATTGTGTAAAAAAATCAACAATTACATTTTATTTTCAAAATAATAATTAATTAATTAATTCAAAAAATAAATACCCGAAACCGGTAACACTGTGTGTGTGTTTTTTTGTTGTTAAATACAACAACAAAAAAATATAATACCCCTGTGTGTCACATATATACATATATATATATATACAAAAAAAAAATAATTGTGTTTTTTTTGTTGTTGGATTGACCCCCAAAAAGCGCCTGCATCTGTGGTGGTGATACCTATCTAGTCTTTTTTAGATAAAAAAAATTATTAATTAATTAATAATTTAAAAAAATTGCCAAAATTAATAAAAATTATTATTGCTATTTAAGAAAAATTGTTCCTGCACACTTTCAGCAACTTTTTAAATAACTTACTACCATAATATTATTTTTGAGAAAGTCATCAAAAAAAAATATAATAATATTAATAATTATTATTATTATTATTATATCATCCTAGTACTTAAATAATAATAATAATTAAATTAATAAATAATAATAAATATCATCAGTATATCTGTGCAATCTATCAATAAAATAAAATAAAAAATAAAATAATATATAATGGAAACGGAATCGCAAACAGTTAGCAATAATAGCGCCAATTCTAGCGATGGTGTGGCCCACGACTCGCCCTACGATCAGGACCTGTAAGTTATGATTTTTATTATGACTTTCCTTTATATTATTATTATTATTATTACAGTATTTTGTTTTGTTTATGATATGTATAATACTTATAGCATATTCATTACTTATCCATTAGTAAATAAACACCTAATCATCATAATAATAATATTAATATAAAAAAGTAGCATGCTAAAAATATATTTATATTAATTTATATATATATATATATAATTTATTACTAAGGTTATTATCCCCTTTTTTATAAAAATAATACAATTGTGTGTATTATTATTTTATCTAAAAAATTTTTATTGGTTCAAATAAATAAATAAAATTATCTAGTACATTTTTTATTAATTATACCTATGATGACGTTTGAAACAAACATTAACACGTTAATTTGTATTTAATTGTTGAGTACAGTTAAATTGAGATTACGTTTTTTAATATATATATATATATATTATATATGCAGGGGGTGATTGAGAGGGAAATGTACCCAGTATATTTTTTAATTATTGAAACAAAAAAAAATATATCATTAAATATAAAAATTTTCCACACATTTTCTTGTTGTAATAAAAATGTTTAGTTAATACTAAAGTACAGTACATATAACGGCACAAAAAAAAATCTTATCAGTAATGTGTGTGTGTGTGTGTGTGTGTGTGTAATATAAACATAACATTTAATACAAATACTTAAACTTAAAGATATAATAGTATAATATACTAATGTATTGCAATGTATTTATATATAAATATATATATGCTGTATGTTCAATGTTTACATATTGATTTCATATCTCATAATTTTGCCAAAAAATATGTGATTATTTGTATGAATACTAAGAGATAAATAGATGGATAGATAGATAGAGAGTGAGTGAGAGAGAGAGAGAGAGAGAGAGAGAGAGAGAGAGAGAGAGAGAGAGAGAGAGAGATGTTTGTGAAGTATATCTCAATTTTTATAGTCAGTCCTCAACACAACTAATATAACTAACAAAAACATACCGTTATATATATAATATATTATATATATACAGCATATATACAGTACAATATGTAAAGCTATGCTATAAGTGAGAGAGAAAAAGAGATTTATTATTACAAACAAATCAAAACTCTATTAATATATCACTTGACTGGCACTCACACACACACACACACACACACACACACACACACACACACACACACACACACACACACACTATCTGTGCTTTTATTTAATATATATATATTTACTGTACTTTAATATAACGTAATGTTTGCCTAAAAATTTTAATCTCTGTATTGAATAATATAATATTTTTCCCAACATTTATCGCATACACACACATAACACAAACGGCTTTTCCATAATAATTGATTTTATATATATATATATAATTTTGTTGCCGTAAATAACATAATATTAGATTTTTAATATAATATATTTTTATTATAATACTAATAATATACTACTGTATTATACTGTACAATACTGAGTATATAWATATAATACAATATAATAATAATAATAATAAAAAATTAACTACAAAATAATCATTGTTGGTTTTACAACAACAACAACACCAAAAAAATACCGGTATTACCAAATAGTGTAATAAAAAACATTTAGACAAACATTTATATATATATATATATATATATAATATATAAAGTTCACACAATTTATTTTCATATAATATCTATCACATGTTTGTATTTATATAAATATAAATATATATATTTATTATTTATCTTGAAATTTATCAAATATTTTTCAAGAAAAAAAACGTTAAAAAAAAGTTTTTATTTTATTTATTTTTTTTCATTTTATCCAAACTATATAACTATCCATAATATGTCTCTCATGTCTCAATTACTTAACGATGTGTGTGTGTGTGTGTGTGTGTGTGTGTGTGTGTGTAATCACCGACAATAATATATCACTGGCTCACAAACATTTAGCCACTTTTCACCAAACCTTTATCTATCATCCCTGTCCCCCATCACACACACACACACACACACACACATATATATATAGTAAAGCACATACACTATCGCTTTTATACTATTTGTTTTAATTTGTGCACTAATTTGGCATTTGTTTTATATACGTTTAGTCGCCTTTTTTGTGTGTATGTACAGTATGTATGTGTGTTTGTGTTTAATAGTACCCATAGTTTTATTGTTGATATATACTGTATATACAGTGCTTTTAAGTCATTCATAAATAAACTTATATTATATAATATATATCTATATATCACTAACAAATTAACGATATATATAGCTAATGAGTGCTAACTTTTATTTTAACGGCTATTTCAAAGAGAGAGAGAGAGAGAGAGAGAGAGAGAGAGAGAGAGAGAGAGAGAGAGAGAGAGAGAGAGAGAGAGAGAGAGAGAGAGAGAAACTACACGTTTGTGTCTAACTGTCCCTATTATTATGTGTATCTCTTATTTATATTTAGTTAGACTGTCTACATATATATAAATATATACATCTCACACAAACACACAATCAATATACAGTATTTATCTATTTATTTATATATATATATTAAAACATTATATAATATTATACATATATTTATGTGTGTATTTATGTTTATTATGTCACTAAATAAATAAAACATATAATAAATATCTCATTGCCTATTGTGTTGTCTGTATATTATAGTATGTGTTGTTGTTGTTGTTGTTGTTGTTATAGCAAATGTTTTATTAGCATTTAATATGCAATTAATTTTTATATAAATAAAAATAAATAACAACAATAACGATAAAAACACAAATAGGTCTGTTATCTATCAATTTATATATAACTATTAAAAATTAAATTATTTTGTTATAAAAATATTTATATACATTATATTACAATTATGTATTATGGATAATACAAATAAAAATACACATTTTTTTGTAGAAATATAAGATATTAATAATAATAATAACAAAATTGCCAAAATTAACATTATTATAATTTATTAATTAAAATAATAATATATTTTTTGAAAAATTCAATTATATTAATTTTAATTATTTAAATAAAATAGAATATATATATATATATTTAAATAATTTATTCTACATATATTAATCTATATTATATTTGTTATTAACTAAATATCGTATTTAATTTATATTAATTTTTTTTTAATTTTTTTATTAGGAAAATGTTTATTGGTGGTCTCAGTTGGCAAACAGCCCCGGGTAAGTTTATATACATATATATATACACAATAGTTTAGTATAATTGTATTTATTATCACATTAATAATATCCACCACTTAATAATTATTATTTATCCAAATTAAACTAGCAAACAAACAAAAAAACCAAATAATAATAATAAATTATAATAACATTTTAAATTATTAATAAAAATAGTAATTATAGATAAAAAAATACTACTATATTACTAATAGCAAAATTAATATCATTTATAAATTATAAATTATTATTTTTTGCTTAAATAGTTTAAGCTAGATAATAATAATAATTTTATTATTAATAATAGTATCATTTATAATAGACTTATTTATAAGTTAACTTATTATATATATGTATAGTATAATATTAATTTTAATTTTAATATTAATCCATTTAGTTAATATACAAAAATACATTATTATTATTATTATTAGCATCATATTTAGCAATTCAAATTAATACTGTAAAAACTTAGCTAGAGGATTAATAATAATAATAATAATAATAAGAAACATAAAACTAATTTAATATTATATATCCATACTATATAATAATAATAATGAACAATAATATTATAAAGTAATTAGGTTTTTAATATAATATTGAATAAAAGTATAYGAATAAAAWWWAATTTATGTTTTCTATAGTACTGTATAACAAATATACAATAAAAAAAATAAATTATATATATTATTATGTGTCTATTCAAACATATTAACACATAGACACACACACATATACACCTAACCAGTCACAAACAATTATCTTTATATTAATATACAGTACATATATATAAACTCACTCACTTACTAACTTAGTCACCCACTCTATCACTTACTTATTATGATTATGATTATTATGATTGTATTATTATTTTATTATTATTATTATTATTATTATTGTCTCAGAGGGCCTAAGGGAGTACTTTAGCAAATTTGGTGACATAACCGAAGTAATGGTTATGAAAGATCCCACCACTAGAAGATCGAGGTAAGTGTCACTGTCTTCTACACAAAAAAAAATAACTAACTGATCATAAACTAACTGTGCGCTACCACACACACATACACAAACACATAGTAAAATAAAAGATTAACTATTTAAATATTTATTATGATAGCTAAATTAAACGGTTTTTTATATATAAATCATAAGCAGTATACATACTCTAATGTATATATATGTATGTGTTTATGATGATTATCCAAGCAATCTCTCATCAGGGATTAAATAAAAATATATTATACACTTATATATATATATATATATATATATATATATGAAATAGTAATAAATTAAATAATAATAATAATAATCAATTATTTTTTATAGTTTAGATATTGTATATATTTATTATAATATATATTTAAATATATGTGTGTGTGTTATTTATTGCAAATGTTTATTATTTAGCCATAAACATTTAGCCTCCCATTAACCTCCCAACACATTATTATTATTATTATTATTAGCCCACTAGATATTGTACGGAAATTGTAATAAATATTTTTTTTTAAAAAAAGAGTATTTTGTGAATATATTAACTGTTACTTTAAAAAAACAAACAAAAAAATCAATTTAATGCAATAAATTTATTTGAAAATAAACTAAAATAATATAAATCTATTTAAACAGTTATTTTTTCTCTTATAAATTTATATTTATTTATACAGAATATTCTCTGTTAAAAACAAATAATAATAATAAATGTATTCAACCAGTAATTCTCTATTGAATTATTAATTTGTTAAAAATAATATATATATATATATTATCGCAAAAATGTTTTAAAAAGGGAGGTTTAAACTTTAGGTATTTTTTTAATACCCGCAAAAATGCCATTAAATTTTTAAAATCGTTTTTTTAAAATATTTATATAGATAAATACTATATATATATATACATTGTATATACTGTACAAACAGTTTTTTTGCTATGTTTTTATATAATTTATATACTGTATAAATAATTTTATTGCCATTTAAATCAAAAAATAAAATATTTTAATCCTCTAACCACTAATACAAATGAGATAAATAAATAATATCATCAATATATATATATATAYAYAYATATATACAGTATATATATTATTTAATGTGCCATAAAATTTTTAAGCTTACCATACAGTTAAATCAAATATATATATATATATATATCTAATAATTTATTAATAATAATATTTTTTGAGATATTAATGTCTATTAAAAATGCATTATTTTGGTYTGTATAGCACACAAACACATACAAAAAAAATGTATTTTTTGAAAATAAATAATAATAATACTAACAAAACTATTAACAATAATAATAGTCATAATATTGTATATATCGTATTGTACTATCAATTTAATTTAAAATGGTTTGAATTTATAGAAAATTTTAAAGAAAATAAAAATATTTTTATATATTATATTTGTCTACTGATTTTGATTTGATTTGATTGTTAGTAAATAGAGAAAAACAAAATTACATTATAAATTGTAAAAATTCATAGACAGCCGGTATGTATAAAAAACAAAAAATAAAATTTTGTCTCATTTTAACAGATAGTTATGTTTTTTAGGAAAAATAAAATTGAAAATAAAATTTTTCAAAATAAAAACTAAACACAAAATAAAATATTTTTCTCTGAATTTTTTTGCATTATATCTAACGTATGTTTGAGACATTGTATTATTATTATACAGTATATACTGTACTCTATATATATATATATATAAATTTATTTTGTGTGATATATAAATACACTATATATATAAAGACTAAAAATATAAAATATTATTATTATTTTTTTACTGAATCTCTGTCTTTTATAAGTTTATATATTTCACAATACGATTATTACAATATTATTATTATTATTATTATWTTTTTTGTTTTATATATATATCAAATAGATTTTCTATCTATCTATCTATCTCTCGAAATGCTATATCAAACTTGTATTGCACCTCAAATATATATATATATATATTATAAAGTATATATGATATAAATAAATCCACAAAATTTATAGAAATTTATAAAATATTGAACAATGCAATACATAGCAAAAAAATATATTACTATTAAACAATAAAACATTTTATTTTATTTTTATATACGATCTATCACTATATATATCCACACACACACACACACATACATATATATATACATACATACATACATATACAAACACAAATACACACACAAAACTAGTATTATATTATATTATACACTTTATGTTTGTCCACTGACTGACGTATAAATCGACTCTAAAGCAAACTAAAAAACCAATTGTGAAATCAATAAAAAAAATTAGACAATATATTTAATAAAATAATAATAATAACATAAAATTTTTTTGTAATGTTTATATTTATACAAAATATAATATAACATATATTTAATATCTTATATTATATATATATTCCGGAAAAGGCAATATAGTTATTAGATAATATATAGTGAATGGGAGAGAGAAATATTGAATTAGATTTTATGGACAATAATTTTTATGTTTATATCCCCAATGCCTTTATATATATATATATATATTATTGAGAAAAAAATTATATGTAATATTTAAGCATTTTTTATGATGACTGTGCCATTGGCATTGGGTCTCTCTCTCTCTTCCTCTCTTTACGTATTACACACACACACACACACACACACACACACACACACACTCATGCAATGTAGCTCCCATTCCCCATAACATTGCTTACACACATACACACACACACACACATACACACACACATACATACATACACCAACTTATAGCATACTGTCTCTCCATTGGCATCACAATTAATGGGAGAGACAGTTAGGGATTGAGGGCTTTTACTCATCCAAAACTATTTTATGCTGAACTGCCAGCTATTAGACTATTCCATGAGAGCACCAGTACTACTACTACTCCTACTCCTACTCTCTGTAGTAAAGACTAACAGCACATACAGTGCACACACACGACAGTGAAGTGCATGTGTGTTGTTATCCTAACTCTCTCTCTCTCTCTCTCTCTCTCTCTCTCTCTCTCTCTCTCTCTATCGCTATCTAACTGTTCCCTCTATTTTTCTGCTCGTTTCGTACATCATATCGTATATATATACTAATATATCTCACATAAACCGTATATACTGTATATATCTTACTCTTTATTTTTTGAGGCCATGTATGTAATGTTGGTGTGTGTGTCTCATGTATGCCATACACGAGAGCAGTGATATATATATATATATATACAGTACAGTACATACCATATATTAGTCAGCAATATATTATATATACAATATACTGTATATAAAGGAGGAGTTGTTGTACATATATATATACAGTATATAATAAATTATATAAAATAATATAATAATAATATTCAAATATAAATTATAATAATAAGTCATAAAAATTCGCGAGATGATCCAGGACACACATAGGAATCGCCAAAAAATTTATCTAGCATGTAATTTTTGAAATATATATATATATATATATATATATATATATATATATATATATATATACTGTACGGTATAATCATTATTATAATTAAATTAGATACTGTATATAATTTTCAGTATATGATGATGATTATTATGGTGATTACCTATCATTAAAATCATTATTATTATTATTATCATCATAAATGCTTTATGATAATTTTATTGAATCAAATTTTTTGTTATTATTAATAAAATAATAATTTAATTATTTGTTTTTTGTAAAAAATAAAAAATTTGTTTTGTTTAATCAAATAACAAATATTTAAATACTAATACTAATAATAATAATTATTATTGTAGTATAATTTTATAGTAGAATTTAATTTATTTTTGTTGATATTTAGTATAGTTTATAATGATTTTATTTGATTAATTGATTTGTTATCTTGGTCATTTATTATAGCATATATACAGTATATAAGATATTATATAATATTATTATTATATAACATCGATATATATATTTGCGTCTCTATGACCATGAAATGCATTTATATATATATATATATATATATATATATATATATATATATAGTGTGTGTGTCTATGGATGTGATCTGTGCTAAACTGGATGTGCCTATTATATGACAGTCCCTTCTGAGTGCCAGTAATGATCTGATGCTGGCCTTGCAATTGACGTTTTCAGTGCCCTAACTGTCTAACTCCCTGAGCAAACACAACATCTCTCTCTCTCTCTCTCTCTTTCTAATAGATAGATAGATAGTGAGAGAGAGAGAGAGAGAGARAGAAAGAGAGAGAGAGAGAGAGTTTGCAATCGTTTCCCATTTCATGGCATTGCCATCATTACAGACATCACAGCACACAATATACTGTAATAATTGTATTTTATACAGTAATACTCTATAATTATTATTAATAATAATAATAATAATATGATATAAACATATATAACATATATGTAAATATATATTTATAAACATATAAATTCATAGAAAAAAACATTGAATAAAAACTTGTATTATAATTGTGTAAAATAAATTAGATATATATATCTAAATATATAAATATCTCTCAACAAACAAACAAAACATTTTTTAAAACACAAACATAAACGCATAAATTGTTGACAGTTTAATGTTTCATCAAATGAATTGTATTTTAATTTTTTGGGTATTTATTCATTTAAAAGAAACAAATTTTTTTTCCAAACATATTTACTAATATTTATAATATAATACATACAATATGTGTATATAATTTCTAACTAAAACAATACTGTAATTCATATGTTAACGTTATTTGCATTTTCATTATTATTATATCATTACTGAAAAATGCATTTTTAAATAATATAAATAACATTATATAATACATTATACAGTCTGTACTGTTTTAGCGTATCGTACATTACTTTACTTTATAGTATTTATGATAATTGGCTAAAATATATGTATACGTTATATATATATATTATATAATTTTTGTTTCATATATAATAATAATACAGTATCTTTACTACCATTTAATTATCGG